TCAATTGGGAAGCACTGTTCGGTTTTTATATGATTCAAAATAAAAAATATATAAATTGTAAAATTAGTAATTTTTTAATGGCCATAATGCGTTCTTTCAAAATCATCGAACAACTAAATCATTTCCATAGATCCAGTGACGTACCGTGACTTTGAATTTTGAGACCAAAAACTGAAACAATAATTTGTCAAAAAAATCATATTACAGTTATATATTTTATTTTGCATAAAAATGTTAACTAATAAGTTAGAATAATTATAATTCTTCCCTAACTAAGTGGTTTTATCGCTAAATTTAACTAAAGCTAAGTATAACACAAATCTTTATATACGTGGACTATTATAACAACAAATACATCGTAAAAGACTATTTTGGTAGCATTCTGAACTAGAATTCAAGTTAAACATTTTAGAAAATAATTTAAAGGAAAAATGTTAATTCAGTTAATATTAATTTTTGTATACTGCTCAGATTTATCTGGTCTTCTATCATATATTTTGGAAATTAGAGAATTACCTGAAGATTTTCATCTAAAAATTGGCATTGATAGTGGTGGTGAATCACTTAAAGTTTGTCGGAATGTGCTCCCTGAAAATGATCCCGAATAGTTCAAGATATATAAAAGTGCTGGAATTAATAAACTATTCATAATTGGCTTAGGACCAAAGTTGTCTGAATCTTATGCTAACATTAAAAGCCTCTTTGAGACGTTAGATCTGCAGTCCATATGTGGAATTTGTTCCTATACTTTTGCCGCCGACTTTAAGCTTATTATGATTCTCCTTGGTCTTCAGTCAAATTCATCCACTCACACTTGCCCATGGTGTGATGTAAATGTAAAGGAAATGGAATTTAAAGGATCATTCAGAACTATAAAAAGTATTACAGAAAATACAAATTTATGGCAACAATCTGGAGGAAATATAACAAAAGCTAAAGATTTTAGTAACCGTTTTTGTTTGAAATATTTTTTTTGTATTTTTTAAACTGTTACTGTTGTATTTTTTAAACTGTAAACACATAAAAATGGGTAATTATTTTTTAGAAAACTGTATAAACATACATTTAATCATTGGCGACGAAGAAACACCTGTCTTAAAGTATATTCCCCCTCCTGAGCTTCACCTTTTGTTAGGTGTGGTTCAAAAACTATTTGATTGTCTTGAATTGGAGAATACCAATGTTGCAACAGAATGGATAAAAAAAGCGGGATTGAAACTAGATCATTATGAAAAATGTAATGGAAATAACGCCAGACAACTTTTAAAGAAAGTGGATATTTTGAAGACGATATCGCCCGGTAAAGAATCCTATTCAAAGTTTTTAGAAGCAAAAACCTAAACATCTTTTTTTTTAGGAATAAATATATTGCAGTGTTTTCTGCATTAAATCAAGTAGTTTCGAGTTGTTTTGGTCAAGCACTAAACAAACATTTTGAACATGACATCGAACAATAATTTAGATTGGAAATACTCAACTTAGGTATTAAGATAACTCCAAAGATTCATGCAATTCTGCGTCATGTGCCAGAGTTTATAAAAGCAAATCATAGAGCTCTAGGATTTTACTCGGAACAAGCATCTGCGAGCAGGTTCATTTTTCCTTTAAATTATTTTCTAAAAAGTTTAACTTGAATCCTCGTTCAGAATGCTACAAAAATAGTCTTTTACAATGTATTTATTGTTATAGTAGTCCACGTATTTAAGATTTGTATTGTACTTAGATTTAGATAAATTTAGCGATAAAACCACTTAGTTAGGGAAGAAATATAATTATTCTAACTTATTAGTTAACATTTTTATGCAAAATAAAACATATAGCTGTAATATGATTTTTTTGACAAATTATTTGTCAGTTTTTGGTCTCAGAATTCAAAGTCACGGTATGTCACTGGATCTATGGAAATGATTTAGTTGTTTGATGATTTTGAAAGAACGCATTATGGCCATTAAAAAAATACTAATTTTACAATTTATATATTTTTTATTTTGAATCATATGAAAACCGAACAGTGGACGGCCGGTGAAGACACCGCGCGCATTCCGCACGCATTTATGAGCGACTATACATATGTGTTTTCTTTGAATAAATTCCCTTTTCTATGTTTTTCTTTGAATATTGTTTATTAATGGAGTGTTCAAAGAGTCGCACTACTCATCACTAAAATTGCGTAGTTCTTCTCAGACGATAGAGACTAACGAATTAACGACTAAACGAATGTTCGCGGTATTTCTATGGATCGCGGGATGTTCGTTAAAACAATAAAAGTAACGCGCGGCCAACGCTCGGCGCGCGCTCTTCGCGTTCGGGGCGCAGCGCACCAATGTATACGTACCATATGACTAAAATCATAAAAATAAAACTAAGCGTAATACATGTACAGTTGGTTCTATTTAGGTACTAACAATTGACTCTGCAAGTTCCAGCGGTTTAGAATGCCTAAATTTGGAAAAAAGTTGAAAATAATGAAAAAAAAATTAATTTTTTTGACATATCTCAAATCTCAAGTTAATTTTTTTTCCGAAAAAATGAGGTGACCATTTTTTTATAACTCCGCGAGTTTTTCAGCTACGAACTTGAAAAGACCTTTAAAAAAAAGACATTTAAAAGGTCTTTTCAAGCACTTTAAAAACGGTCATATTCATTTTCTTCGAAAAATGTATTCTTTCGCCATTATTTTACGGTAAAAGGTTGCAATTTAGTTTTCGAAAAATAAAGAATTAAGTTTACAGAGTGATAACTCGGCTATTACTACACCTACGGTAAACAACAAAAAATGAATCGATTCGTTATTCCAAAAGCTTCATTTTTGCTTTTTATGAGTTCTGCGCTAAAACACAAGATTTTCGAGTTATTTATAAAAAATTGCAGAAAAATATGCAGTTTTTAGATGAAAAATCAACATTTTCAATCCTAATAACTCGGAAAATATTAATTTTCTGAAAAAATGTTATAGAACATTATTTGCTTAGAATTCATCCCTTTATTGATTTTTGTAATTAAAATGAGTGATTTGTTTATCACCCCCGAGAAGGGGTGGCATTCGCCCTCAAGGTGAAAGCACACATCGCTACTATGTAACTTTTGTTTCTTACATATATCTCTATTCATTGTTAAAATTGCACGTCAATCGGTGCGGGTGTCAAGAATTCGGAGGTAATACCCTATTTTTATCCTCGCTTACTGGCCTATAGCTCTTAGACTACAAGTAAAACAGCGAAACCGTAATGGAAATGAAAATATGAAATGACACCAATCATAAGCAAATCGTACATCCGATGAACGGAGACAAGAAATGCAATAAATTTAAAAACTGCGTAATTTTCTAACCAATCGAAATCTTTAAATTCAACCAATAAAATATCGCACCGTACCGTCGGATATCGGATGCATGAAAATCAAGCTTTAATGTACAGGGTGGGTCAAATTGGACGCTTTTAAAGGGAAATACCCTTTTCTATAGGACATAGACGAAAACTAATATCGGTGTCTGGAGCTCAATTTCTATCAGAAACATGATGGTGAAAACCGCACATCGATATCTGTTACCGTTTGGGAGTTACGAGGTGTTTTTCAAAAATGTGCATTTTTAACAAATCGCTGTAACTTTTTTGCTATGGAAAATTTTTAATTTTTAAGGAAGCATTTCCAAAGCACCTTTTTACGTAGAATTTAATGGTTTAAGTATATTTTTTTTTAAAATTAATAATTTAAGAATTATCAACAGAAAAAATGATTTTTTATATGTATACCATCTTGATATAGACACCTTGTATATTTTTAATTCATTGAAAAGAATTTAAAATTACCTTTCCAAAAATATAGCATACTTGATATTTTGCTCGATTCCCCTTCGACATATAGATTTTTTAAAAATTCGCCCATTTTGAATAAGTAGGCTTTGAACTGCGCCTGCTATAATGCAAAAAAATTCTACCTGTGAGCAGCACTTAAAACGAAAATAATATTTGCAAAGAGAGATGCAGAATTTTATGACAATTTATATTATATTTAACAACATCAAGACATTTAAACTATATTTAATAACAATAAAAATTAATAGCAAACCAAGATATGAGATTTTGCTACAGGTGTTCGACATGTCGACCATCTTCTGTTATGGACAGTTTTGGAACATTTCTCGCGGAATAATTTCGCGAAATTCATTAACTCATTGGGGATGAAAGATAAGTTTCCCTCGCATAACCGGCTAAGTACTTCTAATTCTTGTCTAGATTATAAGGACATTTTAAAAATAAAAACCTTTATTCTTCCGCAAAGGTAAAATTCTATAGGCACTAAGCTCTGCGGCCTCGATGGCCAACGGCTGGGATCTTGGTTAGCTATACAATTATTCTCGAAATTGACTGCAAAAATTTGCTGATAACTTCAGCGTTCTGAGGCGGTGCCTCGTCTTGCTGGAATAATATGTTTTCGAGTTCCATTAGTAGGGGCAGATCATCAATAAGGGGTCCAAAGCCTACTAGTTAAAAGTGGCGAACTTTTAAAAATTCTGTATTTCTAAGAGGAGTATGACAAAATATCTAGTGTGCTATATTTTTGGAAAGGTAATTTTAAGTTCTTTTCATTTAATTAAAAATATACAGGGTGTCCCAAGCAAAAAATCAATTTTTCTGTTGATAACTCTTAAATTATTAATTTTAAAAAAATTGTACTTAAACCGTTAAATTCTACTTAAAAAGGTGCTTTGGAAATGTTTTCATAAAAAATCAAAATTTTCTATAGCAAAAAAGTTACAGCGATTTGTTAAAAATGCACATTTTTGAAAAACTCCCCGTAACTCCCAAACGGTAACAGATATCGATGTGCGGTTTTCACCATCATGTTTTTGATAAAAATTGAGCTCCAGACACCGATATTAGTTTTCGTCTATCTCCTATAGAAAAGGGTGTTTCCCTTTAAAAGCTTCGAATTTGACCCACTCTGTCCAAAAAAATTGTAGATAACATTGTAAGCAACTATTGTGTTGTAATGTTTAGGTCCCATTTAAAAATGCACGAACAAATACACGACAATGAATTCCCGCTGTGTCCTATTTGTGGTACTAGGCAGGAAAATTTAAAGGAGTTTCATAAACATATTGACGAGCATATGTTGTATTCAGTACCATGTCCGCATTGTGATCTGTCATTCCAAACAAAAAGAGAATGGAAGAACCACAAGTCCATGAAACATCAGTAAGTAGTTTTGCTAAGGGCAGGGTTAGGTAGGTAGAAAATTTTATATATTCTACCGTATTTTCTACACGTAGAAAATTAATTTTCTACAGCAACTAATTTTCTACATTTTTTACATGTTCAGACGTAGAAAATTATTTTTGTATATCGTAAGCCGTTTTTTGAGTTTATATTTATTTCAAATACTTTATTCACAACGATTAGTACAAGAAATAAACTAAAAACGATATCTCTAATTGTTATTTATTTTAACAAATGCATAGTATACAGGGTGTCCCAGGCTGACCGTGTATTAGAAGTCTCTAGAGAACCACAATATCTATATCGGAGATTTTTTGAACATCATTGTTTTACAACGAGATCTATCGATTAAAAATATTTTCAATATGGCGGCACTTCCGGAAATACCGGAAGTTGACAGCAACTTTCTTATTTTAAATGGGTACCCCCACTTTTTATTACATACTTAAATTCTCTGTAAAATTTTATGAATTTTGATATCAAACACTCTATATCTAACATTAACCGTTTTTGAGAAAAAAAAATATTTAAAATTTTTGGACGAAAAAAACTACCTGTCAAAAAAAATTGTATAGCCTAAAAGTCAAATTTAGTGATTACCACAGCCACTGTGACATAAAGAGAAGACATGTGGCTATCTATTCCAAAAATTAAATTGTCCAAATGTCATATAATAATGGAGGTAGCTGTCATGGAATTGAGTGATTAAAAAATTATCATAAACTAGTTGAAGCCTGGCGCATCCGCCACGACATGCGACATCAGGAAAAAAATACTTTTTATTTTTTTTTAATTAAATGAAAAACAAAATATCCGGCGGCAACAGTTTTTAGAAGAGCCAATTAGCTATCTTTTAGTAAAAAAAAGCAACTTTCTAGAGCAAGTAGTTCCTTCAGTAGAGACGACCCAGATAAACATTAGCATTTTATATTATAGATTATTTTTTTCAAATGGAAACCCACTTTTTTTGTTTCACTAGTGCAAAGGTTTTCCAATTCGTTACTTGTTAACTCTTCATGTTCCTATACCTAAAATGAATCGTTTTATATTACTATTTAAGATTTAGTTAATATAAAAAACGTATAATTTTCAATTGCAAACAATATTGCAAACGTATAAGTCAGACAATTTATTTCCCTCTATTAGAAAACGAATTATGTATTTAAATTTTCTATATTATAAAAATAGTGCCTGCTTAAAAATGTATTTATAAAAATATATCTCGTATTTTTGCTCTTTAATGATATCTAATAGTTGATATTATTAATAATATACCGATATATGATCGAAAAAAAACCTTCATAATTTCATATGAATAAGGGTCATAATTGGGGCTATTTTGGTTATAACGAAATTTTTTAAAGGTACATAATTATAATTTTAGACGATGTTCATAAAACATTATCTAGTTGATTAAAAAAAAGTATACCGTTAATATTGCAAATTATATTCTATCCTCTCATAGTATATGTCTATTTATTTTTTTGATTATGTTACGAGAACTTTGTTTACTCGTTTGTTTCGTCGAACTGCTTGAATTCATTTTTGCTTTTGATCAAATCGGTGTGAGAAACTACGAAGCTATAAAATGTTGTTTCGGGAGAGTTGAATATCCGGGAAAATTGAGTTATTGAATGTTATTGCACCCAACAACGCCCTAATTACGCGCTCCTTTACGCATTAACATTTTTTCGGCAATTTTATTAACATTAGAAATTGTCACAACCACAACACGACGCCTAGTTCGAATTCTTTTTTACTTATTTTTACTACCCGAAACAGCGTTACATCACACAAACCTCGTACCTGATTGTGTGTTTTATAGTTTCAATAACTGCACTAGCAAAAAACCAAAATACTTAAATATTATGACAAGACCACGATTTCAATATTATTTTAATGCGATCAACATGACGGCGCGGCGGCGCACAGTATAACGAAATCAGGAAATGCGGGACATTAGCCCAAAAAAACAAAAAAATTAATTCATCAAGTTTTTTATATAGATGGATAAAGGACATCCCAGAGCTCCACCATGTGAGATATTTCTTGAGTTGACCTCTTAGTCGGGGAGTTATGGCGGGTTAAAGTTATGGTTTCCTTAATTTACCAAATCTGTACAAAAATTTCATACAATGAAATTTATTATTTTCAGAAGTTTCCTTGTGTTGTTCAATTCCAACAATTTTTTCCGTAAAGAGAGGTCTTTTACCAACAACAAACCTGAAAAAAATGTCCCAATTTTTTTCAAGTCTAGTTTCTAAACGCTTACATTCGCGCAAAGATATATATACAAAATATCATAGAGTGAACCTTCTAGTATACTGTTACATATAAATTTCATCCACCTAGATCCGAACCTGGAAGAAAAAAATTAATTTCTTCGGCAATAATTACGTTTTCCATTGATTCGACCGTAGTTTGATGACATGAAAGAGACAGCAGAACTATTTGTTTCCCTTTACGGTTGGTATTATATGCCTTCAAGCATTCATATGCTTTTGATTCATGGTGGAAATATCTGTGAACGTTTTCAATTTATACCCATCGGCAAAATGTCCGAAGAAGCATCTGAATCAAGAAACAAAGAATTTCGATCGTTCCACCAAAATTTTTCCAGGAAGAATGGTCGCAAGGAAACTATTGAAGATATATTGCACAACTTATTAATATATTCAGATCCCCTACTCTCACATCTGCAACCAAAGCACTCTAAAAATGAACAAGTAGACTTGTTTCCGGAAGCGAAAGAGCTCTTGTATATGGATGGAGAAGAAATTGAGAATGATTTTTAAGCATGTTTTATGTAAGTGCCTTACATATTATGTTATTTTGGAATAATATACACCCCACATAAATTATCGCATCACTTATTAATTTGGAAAACTGCAAAGTACTCTTAAATTCTCTTGGTTAACAATAATCTCAAAAGTTATTTGCATTAATAGCAACTTGTTAAGGAATGGAAAGTATATCATAACTCAGGCAGACCTTAGATTTAAGTTTTTCACATAAAAATGTTTGAAGCGTTTCAAGAATAAATACTACGAAAAATATAACTGTTGCGAAATTTTTTGTGAGGTGTGTATTATGGTTTCCTTTGTTGAAGTTGAATACGTTTTTTTCGCATATTATCATATTATTTAATACTGTTAAAAGATATTTGTCACTTGTGTCGTTCTCTTTGAGTTTTGCAGTCTTATCTAATTTATCCCTGATTATTTGAATATTTAGGAATGTTGATTGAGTTTTGACATATTAGCGGGAGATAAATGATTGTTCGACAGTAATTTGATAACGTTTTTGGTCCATAAGAGCATTTTTGGTCTCTTCGTATAAAAAAATATACCTGTAAAGTCCTTTTATAAAACTTCGTATTTTTTTTGACCTTCCATTACGCCTTTTTTTACTCTTTTCGTCCTGTAGCAAAAATTCCTAGTCGTATTATTTAATTTCTGTCAAAAAATTTCAGCAAGAATAGTGATAACTGAAGAAAAATGCCAATGTCCCACTATTTTAGTTTTCGTTACAATGTGCGGCGTGAACTATATATTGATAATTTCAGATTTTTTCCGTTGAAGCGCTGCGGTCGGAATTTGTTGAAATCAACTGAAATGCACCAAGCCTATATGGATAAATCGCGTCATAATATTTAATATTTGTTTATTGAAATTTAATTTAAAAACTTTCATTTTACAGAGACACAAGAACAAGAATTAAAGATCGTAAAATCTATAGGGTGCAAGAGCAGTATGTTTATTCAATTGATATAAGTGATGAGAGTCCTGAAAAAAATATTTATTCAATTGATATAAGTGATGAGAGTCCTGAAAAAAAATACTGTGCAAAGGTCTATGATGCCTCTGTTTATCAACAGAAATCGCGGTTTCATACGAAAACAAAACTCGATATCAGTATTAGTGGTGGAGGTACGCAAGTAAAATTAGCAGGTAAACCGACTGGCTTAGGAGATGATATGATTAATAACATTGAAGAGATTGAGGAACAATCAATGGTATATGGTGCTACTGTATATCGAAAAAAATCGCCGTTTCGTACGAAGAAACTAGATATTAGTATAAAAGGTGTACATATGGAAGTGGATTTCCCCGTAGGCAAGCCGACTGGTTTAGGAGACGATATGAATAGCGATAGTGAAGAGACGGAGAGGTAATTATCTAATATTTTTTAATACCGTGCTGGCAACTGTTACTTTTGGGTCGGCATTTACATGTGTGGAAGTAGATCGCATAGGGATTTTATTAAGTCGGAGTGAGAGAAATGTGACGGTGTGCTATTGCGGTGTTGCCGGTACGCCTTTCCCCATCAAGTAAAGTAAAATCAGGATCGGAAACCGCTTATTTTTAAAAGACTTTTTTTTCAAGAGATAACTAGATAAAATCATTAGACATGTTTCTGAGCATCTGAAATGGAATTATAAGGATATCATTAGAGCGCTTTCACACACGCCGGCAAAATCGCTGCCGGTGCCGGTCCTGAAATTGATTGCAATATAAATAAATTAGCTCCTTCACATATACTCCGATCCGGTAAAATAGTAGAGATGTTACGATGGAACTGGACCTGTTCCGACGGAATAGGTATATTATTGTAACTGGAAATGTTAAAAAATGTCTATACCAAAAAAAAAGAAATTAGAAATTATTAATTTATTTTAGAATTGTTACAACTCAAAAATAAAGAAAACTTTAAAAACGAAAATAATTTTAGAGATTGTGTTTTTCGAGTTCTGCTCCCTATCACGTTACAAAAAATAAATCGAGCAAATTGGTCAAATCCCTAAAAAACCGTTGATTATTTTCATGCTAATCGTGTTCAGCGGGAGCCGTGGCGGGGTACCTGTTCCGCATCTTTATAGCACAGCACTGCTGTCGATCATCGGAGACTTCGACCCGTTGGACCTGTTACAGATTTTTGGAATAGATTAGAATAGATTCATACGTGGAACTATTACAGGTCGGAATAGGAACGATACCGCGGGCCGCTATCATTCATCGGTGAGTTGGACCTATAACAGGTTTTTGGAATAGGTTCATATGTGGAACTATTACAGGTCGGACTAGGTACATTGAAAAGCTATTCCGTAACATCTCTATAAAATAGTCATGGACCGGCAAATTCAATAGAATTAAATGCAACTGACGGAACGAGTGCAAAGCCGGCGCCGGACCGGCACCTATTTTGCCGGTATGTGTGCGAGCGCTCTTAGGGTGTCATTTTTTATAACGAGAAAACGTCAGTAATCGCGATAATTTAAAAACTCAACTTTTTAACACATAACAGGTCATAACTCAAGAACCACTTTAGGGCGATTCCATGATTACTAACGGGACAAACTGAACGAAAAATAGAATGTTTTCGAAAAATATTTATATCTTATATCGTTCATATAACAATGACCTTGTAATATTTGTTAGCAATGATTTTAAGTAATAATTTGCCAAAAAGATATTACTTGAATATTTATTAGATTGGCGGAAATATTACAAAAACATGTGTTTACTAACGGGACAGAAAAAACTTCAGACATTTTTTCAAATAATTCAGAGAGACAGACCTGTGAATTTGAACGCCTGACACAAAATGTAAAAATATAGGATGGTAAAGGTCCCATCTAAAAAATAGTTAAGCATATTACTCTCATTTACTTATCAGGTGTATAGGTTCTTGGTGGTAATTTATGTTTACTAACGGGACATTACTAACGGAACAGTTTTTTCCAACAGGATATATTATTATTTTTAAAACAATAAATTCAAAAATTACCTAATTTAATGCAACCAAATAATATCAACATATAGGAAAAACTGTCAAAGCCTAATCCTTAACCTAAAAGCACTTGAAAATTGTATTTTTTTCTAATCTCGGTATTTTTTAATCAATATATGGTGCTAATCAACGGATTTGAAATAATGTGAGCTTGCTATCAACTAACAGGAAAAGGTTAAATCAATTTCCTTACATTTACTGCATTCGTTCAGCATGCAAAATCCCTGTGTACAATTGCAGGATATTTCAGAAATCAAACTTTTGTGGTCTTTAGGAAAAGTTGTGATGTTTTTCTGAAGAACTTCCAAAATGTAAAAAACGTTTGCATGATATTTGCACACACACACATTATGTGGCATTGCGCTGCTAAGCAGGATGCATGATGGTCTGGGCTCATAAAATTAACTTAGTTTTATTTTAGTATTTGGATTCTCTTCTGTAAAAATCTGGAAGGCTTCTTTTATAGTAAGATACATGTATGTATCTTTTTGTAACGTATTCGACATGATCGCCTCTTTTTATTTTCACCCGGTCTTTCATTCTAGGAGACACCCTGCTGATATCCTCTCGTAAATAAAAATTTCGAATTTTTTCAATTGTCTCCTGTGATAATTTGCGTTTGTTATCAATTGACGGACTGGTAAACTTGCTAATATTTTGTATTTTTAAACTTGCGTCAATTTTTTCCAGAATTTTTCTTAAAACGGCCACTTTCTTATTTTTATCTAAAGGAAGTGATTTATTTGCCGCTCTTACAGTTTTTCCAAGGCGTTGAGCCGTGTTATAGGGCAATATGTTTTTCATTAATGTTCAGTTCCACTTTCAATGCGATATTATTTTTGGCCAAATCTTTTAGTTTTTTCCTGTATTTTATCTGATTTTTAGCATAATTTTTCAAATCATTTTGTTTTAAATTTTCATTTTCATAAATCTCTTTTCTGTAATTCGAAACACAGGCTTTGATTTTTTGTTTGCGTTCGAAACTATTTTTCCCATCCTAAAATATAATTTTTGTTTACTAACGGGACAAAAATTAATTTTAAAAAACTACAAAGCTAGAACCTTTAAAAAAGAAACAGTTAAAACATTAGAATTTGTTCACACAAAACTTATATTTTTTATCTTATGTAAAAACCTCTTGGCTTGAAGTATCGCTATATATCAATTTATTGTATATTTTGTTTACTAACGGGACATAAAATTTAGATATACTTATAATATTTTATCACAAAATATACTTACTTGGAAAGAGTAACAACACAATAATTCTATCACTCAAACAGAAGCGCAAAGAAAACTGACAGCGTTAGCGCATGATACAAAGAATACAAGGTATGATATTGCGCAGGTTGGTCACTACGTCACAGGTGATAAACGGCACCATTGGTCGGCAAGCTCTACGCGCCAATTTCAAATTGTCAAACGATTGTGTCATCTGTGAAATTTGATTGTGTCAAAATGTGAAAATAATTTTTCAAATGTCAAGCTCGATGTCAAAACATAACTTTTGGGGTTATGTCCTAATTCTTCCCTATTTTAGGTCTTTTTTTATTAGTGGCAATTGAACAATATGGATATTTTTTTGTATGGCGTATGACGTCACAGGTGGTATGCGCAAACTTAACGAAATTGGAGCCGCTATCGATCATACCTTGTTTTCTTTGTACCATGGCGTTAGCGCATTGCTCAGCCTTTTTATCCATAGCCACCTTGATAAAACAAAGCGATTTTTTGGAATTTCACTGTGAAAACCAAAACTATTTTGTTCTGACTATTTTCAAGGAGCACTAGATTAGAAAGTTAAGTTATTCTAGTTTTGTTATGTACTATAGGCATTATAATACAAATAAAAGTACAAATATTTTAAAAAATGTCTCATTTTAAAATTAACAAAAAAATGTATTGTTTGTGGAATCGCCCTTTAGATATGGAAACTTTTTTTTATTTTCAAGATCGGATATTTTACAATGTGTTTACACTAGAAAAATTCGATAAGGTTGTTTTTTCCATTCAAAAATTGTAAACAATCCATCCATTTACTTTTAGAGCATAGCAATTTTCAGCAATCGTGTAATTTTTTATTGATAAAGATTTTCACATACTGTCTACAAAGAAAATACAGCAGAAATATTAACAAAGTTCTTGAAAAAACTACAATCTATTATTTCTAATAGATTTCGAGATATCGATTTTTGAATTCAGAGTTCTATTAGCGCGACCACTATCGAACACCCACTCAGTTCCACTTATTTTTACCAAAAATGCAAGTGTTTCTAGCTTGCACTTAAAAAAATTCAAGCTATAGGGAAAATTACAATGACTCGTTAATAAATAAACAAATTCAGTATCACGAGACGTAATTAAATCGTGAAGCTGAACGCATGACGTACACCTTTTCCTAGAACTTTAAGTACTGACAGAGATATTGATTGGGTCGACCGGTCAAGTGCGACAAATCTGCTATATCCCCTTCCACGTCTCTTAGCATGTTTTATGTAAGTGCCTTACATATTATGTTATTTTGGAATAATATACACCCTACATAAATTATCGCATCACTTATTAATTTGGAAAACTGCAAAGTACTCTTAAATTCTCTTGGTTAACAATAATCTCAAAAGTTATTTGCATTAATAGCAACTTGTTAAGGAATGGAAAGTATATTATAACTCAGGCAGACCTTAGATTTAAGTTTTTCACATAAAAATGTTTGAAGCGTTTCAAGAATAAATACTACGAAAAATATAACTGTTGCGAAATTTTTTGTGAGGTGTGTATTATGGTTTCCTTTGTTGAAGTTGAATACGTTTTTTTCGCATATTATCATATTATTTAATACTGTTAAAAGATATTTGCCATTTGTGTCGTTCTCTTTGAGTTTTGCAGTCTTATCTAATTTATCCCTGATTATTTGAATATTTAGGAATGTTGATTGAGTTTTGACATATTAGCGGGAGATAAATGATTGTTCGACAGTAATTTGATAACGTTTTTGGTCCATAAGAGCATTTTTGGTCTCTTCGTAAATAAAAAAATATACCTGTAAAGTCCTTTTATAAAACTTCGTATTTTTTTTGACCTTCCATTACGCCTTTTTTTACTCTTTTCGTCCTGTAGCAAAAATTCCTAGTCGTATTATTTAATTTCTGTCAAAAAATTTCAGCAAGAATAGTGATAACTGAAGAAAAATGCCAATGTCCCACTATTTTAGTTTTCGTTACATTGTGCGGCGTGAACTATATATTGATAATTTCAGATTTTTTCCGTTGAAGCGCTGCGGTCGGAATTTGTTGAAATCAACTGAAATGCACCAAGCCTATATGGATAAATCGCGTCATAATATTTAATATTTGTTTATTGAAATTTAATTTAAAAACTTT